AAAAAAAAGTCAGTTTCACCGTACCATCTGGTGATCCGATAGCCTGGGCTTGGTCACTGAGTTGTGTTCCTAGGCAACGAGTAGGAATAGGTACTGGCCGACAGTCGTCTTAATTATATAGAGCTTTTGAGATAGCTAATGGTGCAATTTACAGTTGTGTGCTTGGTTGCCAAGCCTTTGAACAGGAGTGAGGCTAATGGTAACCCTGTTATGATACAAACCTTACTGCTTTTCAAATGTAAATTACTTTGTTATCATGCTAACTAGATACTGGTTTCTATCACATCATGGTCACCTTCAGCCTCACACCAAATCAAAGGCTTGGCAACTAAGTACACAACCGTAAAATGGCCTATTGATTGAAGAGAGTTGTTTGTCTCCTTTGATAACTGATATACTTTGATTTTTAGGTGGATAGAGAAAATCCTTGGTTTGGTGTTATACCAAGAATTCGCTTTGATGACAAAGAAACGTACGTGGAGTCGGAAACAAAACAGTACGACATGGTAAGGGGGCTCTCTCATTTCATTTTTCAGTTGAAACGAGAAGAATAAATGCATACTGGTGAGGTCTTGTTGTTCCCTTGAAAGTTAAATCCATCGTCAGGCTAAAACAGATCAAGGAAGCTTGCTAAGGAAACGGGATAAGCCTCGTCAAACAAACTACTAAAACATACTAAGATGTTGTTCTTTTAAAAAGCCTCCACAGTAATTTGAATGTCTGAACTATTGTGGAGCTGATCTAATAGTTTTGTTTCCCATACTTGCTTCTCAGATGGCGTTCAAGTATTTGTCGTGGGCGCTATTTCCGTTGTTGGTCTGTTACGCAGTATATTCACTGTTATACGTTGAACACAAGGGTTGGTATTCCTGGGTCCTCAGCATGCTTTATGGCTTCCTTCTGACCTTTGGTAAGTGTTTTCCTTTTGGTAAAGAAGCTTGTTCCTGGCGTTTAGTTGGTTTAAAATAGCGCACTAGTAGAACGGCGCGATAACAGCGGCGAAGCAAATTAAGGAGGGAAGCTTGGGTCTGGTCTCGTGACGAATAACCGGCCCAACTTCCCTCCTTTTTTCAACCCGACCCAGACTACCTTTCGTTTTTTCTTGCCGTTGCTTCCATCGTGACTTTTGTCAGAACGCTTTGTTGTAGGAAGTGTACGCTTAGCACAGGCCAAGCAACATAGGTAATGTTCATCACAAATAGGTCACTTCTTTTTTAGACTAAAACCAACATGAACTCATTGGCCTTTGAAAACAAAAAGGAAGTTAAGAAAAGTATTACAAGAAAAAAGTTAGAACTAAGAGATTTTAATGCCTTCAAACATGGCGGATCTTCAAGTGCGCGGGTATACACCAATGATCAAGTTGCAATTGCTGTTAGATCTGTCTGATTGATTATAATAGTGGCGCAAACTTTTTACACCAACAACTCAGCGAAGGAAAGCAAAACCAATGCTTAGCACTTTCCATATTTGATTTTAGACCGTTTTAACTGAGCGTCCTCTTTGTGCAACTTTTGAGACGAGGTTTCTGTTATGAAACAAAAGTTTAATCCTACCTTGTAGACATCATTTAAAAGTTATCAGTTTGAGATTTTTGCCAATAAATTTAACTTTTTAACCTCTAAGATTGATAAGCATTTAAGTTCTCTCATCAGTGTCACCTTTAAATCAAACATTAAGGTCATGAGAATGAAGGAAATCATCGCGAACTTAAGAGGCTCATGATTATTAGACAAATTCTCCTTCTAAGAACCATAGGAAATGTATAGTGAACGGTATGGAGAACTTGCATACTGATGTTGGGGTGTTAAGTGTTCATTGTGTACCCTTGTTGAATATCTCCTCAGGATTCATTATGATGACTCCGCAGCTGTTTATCAATTATAAGCTAAAATCTGTGGCTCACCTTCCCTGGCGCATGATGACGTACAAGGCTCTGAACACCTTTATCGATGATCTTTTCGCTTTTGTCATCAAAATGCCAACTTTATACCGCTTGGGATGCTTCAGAGATGGTAAGTTATTTTCAAGGTGAACTGAACTAAGAAGACCTTTTTTGTAGCAATGAAAACTCGAGAAACGTTCTCTGATAAGCATACAATCATGTTAGTCCTATTTATTAAATAAACTGCGGTGTTTTACAAGGATTTCCAGCCTTGAGAAAATCCATAACAGCACCTGTGTAAAATTAAAATAATTTTTTACGCGTGTTTGATATCGCCAATCAGCTGATGACACAGCACTCGCCTTTCGCGCCGCTCCGGCAGGTCGATGAATGAAGAGCAAAATGTTCACCATTCTAAATCTAAGGCCGTCTGTCGAATTTCCTTGTCAGAAAAGGACTATTGTGTTTATATTAGTAAACAAAATATTACATGTTTGCCTACAGATATGTAATCTCTCTTCTTGTGTTGAAAACTCGAAGAGCAATTGCGCACATGTATTTTTCTCGAATTATCAATTGTCAATGAAGTTTAACTCAGCTTTATTTGTTATGTTTCCATCACAGATATTGTTTTCTTCATCTACTTGTACCAGCGATGGATCTATCCCATCGACCCGAAACGTGTCAATGAATTTGGCCTAACTGGTGAACCTGTGGATAACACTGACACAGCAGACCCAAATGAAGCAAAACCTTCTGAAGATGGTGCTGTAACAACTGGTGCTGAAGTCGTTTCAGATAAAAAGAATGATTAATTCCGTGAACTGTATGCAATTTTAAGTAAAATGCGGAATTATTTAAACTTCAAATTCAACCATTTTGCTGTAGAAGCGTTCACCTATTGTATGGAAATATTATTTATGTTCCATTACAGTGTTGACGATTTCCGTGTTCCTCAATGTTTCATGTATTTATCCAATGCAGTGACGTACCAAAAAATTTAAACTCTAGCATGATCGTTGACATTGTTTTGTTGTATGGGATGCAAATAACACTACGCGTCTTGACCCTTTAACGCTTAAGAGTGACTGGCATCTGATTTCTCCCCACCATATCAGCCCTGAATTAAACATACGGTCAACGAGAATAAAGGAAATGATCACCTACTAAAAACACTCTTGATTTTTAAACAAATTCTCCTTGTCAGCAACTTAGGAAACGTGTAGAGAACAGTATGGAGACTATGCATACTGATGTTAGGGTGAAAAGGTTAAAGAGGAGTTTTTTAGCAGTGTCGAAAGGAATCCGGGTTTGCACTGATGTTAATTCCCTGCTCTTTGGGGATCACATGGTTTTCAGGGTGAGCAATGGGGGATTGGCCGTCGCCAACAGAGTGTAAATGAGGGGCTACAGAAAATCGGCGGCTTATCAACCGCCAGTGAGTGGCAAACGGGATTGTAAGAATATGGGAAAGTCTTATGGGGGAAGGATTAGGTAAGTTTGCTCAAAATACCAAAATACTTCCACCCTACCCCCTCCCTCCCCAAACTAGGTGATGAATAATAGGTTGTCTTTACTTTGTATATTCATAGCCTTCTTTTAATTCAGTGTAAATCTCTTTATTAGTCGACCGTTACGATGACTTTAATTTTGGTGTAATGGAACGATGTGCGATCTACTATGATTTTTGAAAAAAATCGAGTCGCCTGATTCAGTTACTAAGTTTAAACTGATCCACGTTGCAACTTGAAAGTCAGTAATACATGCGTAATATCGAAAGGGGCCCAAACATTTTGTAAATGCAGTTTTACTTGTGGTAGTGACTAGGCGGTCAGGAAAAATGAAGTCAAATGATCTAAGAGGTGAAATTTCCCTCAATTAACTCCGAGCAAAAAACAGTTTTGTCTATACCATGATGTCATGAAACGTGGCCTCTGGCCCTTGGGACCCAGTTCACTTGATATATCACAGAAAGAGCTTCGCTTCAACACCAGTTTGAATGGCGGAGAAAAAGCGTTGAGCGCACATGTCACTCATATTTCCAAACGTATTTGGACACACGTCAATATTCGTCGGCATGGCAACTTCGAGAACGTGCACACAGGCCATGCTCACAGTCTTTGAAGCCAATAACGTCAAGTCGCTCACTGTATGGTCTTTTGTTATTTTTTTAGTTTTTTTGCCATGTGTTGTTTTTGTTTTTGTTTTCTTGTATATTTTTGTGTTAGTGGGTTCGCGTCAGCGCCAAGAGAGACTGAACTTTCCAAATTCATTTTCCAATTGAACAGGTGGAATTTACAACCAGCTTAATTTTAAGGAGGCATCGAATGTCAGTGAATGAACTTTCGATGGAAATTTTAGAAAACCGGACATTTTATGTGTCGGATCCCCAATTGAAAAAAACACACGTTTTGCGTGTGCTAACTCCATAACCAGGAAAAATAGTTTTTTCTGAAAATTCATGTAAATTAGTGTTTATAGATGGAACTCGTCCGTCAAGCAGACGTTTGGAGAATAAGAGAACGTTGATCAATTTCAGTTGAGACTCTTGGTCCGTGAAAAGTGTTGTGCATTATGCATTTTTTTTTCTTGTTGTTTTGACACGCTATCAAGGGAAAATGACAGAGGGAACTAGAAAATAATGCAATGAGATTAAAAAAAACGGATGTTTGAAATGTGTCAACGTTAAAGAACTAGATAAGTCTGCGTGGTTAAAGAAGGCAAAATCATATACGAACAGGGTGCCTATTCGAAATTATTTTTTTTTTCGGTGATAAAGTGGTGTTTAGAACTTTCACCGACTCATAGAATAATTTTTTAAAGTCATCGTTTTCGTTTTTTTTATTCAACACTTTAACTCAAGATCAAAACGAAATATGCAAATGTGTTAGGCGTATGCAATTTACTTAGAACATGTGAAAAGTTAAAAAATAATTAATATGCAAATTATATCAAACTGGTGTTATTTAATTCAAACAGGTTGGGATATCTTTCTCCGTTTTGTCTATTCCGAATGGAATCAAAATATCATTAACTCACGCTTATTCTCACAAATAATCTAACGGGCTTGAACTGTTCTCAAGAAACCAAAGTTAAAAATGTCTTTATTTTCTGGTTACGAAACCTGAACAAGAGCATCTCGTAAACTGACAAAAGCTGAGTTTGGACGGGACGGCTGTTAGGTGTATTTCATCTATCTCTTACGGCTTAACTTGAAAAGATTACTTGTTTTTCTCCTGTTTGATCATCCTTAACTGTGATACATTGCAAAGCTGCAGTTTGCTTGCAGTACTGGTTAAGGGAACTGCAAGGCTCTCAGATTTGAGCGCGTGTGTACGGTACTTTGCGGTTGGCTGGATTCAGATACGGAATTGCGTTGAAAAGCGCTCTCGGTCAGCTGTGAAACAGAACAGCAAACATCAGCAATGGAAGACTTAACATTTGTTCTGAGCAATTCAACAAACGAAAGTTTAATTCCTTCATATAAAGCGTCTTGCGCAGAACTTGGGTTTACCGAGAAAGTTTCCGGCGGTGTTTTCTATGGGACTGTGTCTGTATTCGGATCGATTGGTAATTTTCTTGTCATTCTGGTAATTTGCCGGACACCAGGCTTAAGAAACATCTATGGTATTCAGATTGCAAACCTCGCTGTAGCTGATTTCATCGCGTCATCCACTGGAATTTCTCTGTTTAATTATGCCATAACCCAGAGTTCATTCTACAATTTTCATCTCGCTCCGCTCAGCATACACATTGGTGCGGCAATTTTTCACATGTCCATTGATGCTTCACTTATAGCTCTAGCTTGTCTGAGTTTTGATCGTTTTTTCGCTGTTTACTACCCCTTAAAACATAAATTCTTTATGACTTTTAGGAAACTAAAAGTTATGATTGTTGTAGTGTGGTTGGTTTCCGTTACAATTATAGTTTTGCTTTTTTCCAGGCGCTCAATTTGGCACGCGAAGTTTCTTTATGTAGAATCTTCTATTCATAAACTGTGTGTGGTCGTGATCATCGGCAGTGGAATTGCCGCCATAGTCAAGGTGTTTAAGAGTTCTTCGAGTGTATTAGACATAAACCAAAGTCATAATGGTGGCCAAAATTCTGTACTGCACCAGAGAAACAAGCAAGTTGCGAAAACCGTTTGTTTTGTCGTCCTGTTGTTCGCGTTTTGTTGGACTCCTTCAGTTCTAGCAAGGCTTAAAAATCCCCTTTTAGATTCCGCTTCGCTCTCTTCGTTAGACTTTTGGCTGACCGCACTCAGATTCGCAAATTCTGCCATGAATCCTTGCATTTACTTTTATCGCCATCGCAATTATCGCGAGGCATTGAAAAGAACTCTAGGTTGTTAAAAGGCAGAAGTTAGAGATACTTTGTGAAATCTCCAAAACACTGGTCTGAATATTACTAGACTGGTACGTTTTTATAATGTAATTTTCACTGATTCCAAGCAGGGGCGTTTGAGCGATTTTGCCTGCAGAGCTAGGCGTTTTAGTGAACACATTGTATAAACGTTTTGCATGAATGCAGTTGTGCATTTTGAATACGGCCGGACTCATTGCATACAACTCTTATGAAAAATAAAGTAGCTCTATAATTTCCATTGATGTATGTTATGTTTATGCGACGAACATGTGTCCCTTAGAAATGAAAATATTTTCATCATGATTCGGAAACAATTTGATCTTCATATAGTTAAAGTTTCTGTTTTTATCAGGCAGGTGAAGAAACACGATGTGTATTCAATTTTTTGCCCAGTTACCGTGGTTATGCTTCATACCTTTGACAGTTCTTCAAGTAATTGACGGATAGTGTCTAATAATCTTTTGACATTAACAATCCATAGCGAAATGATCGATCCTCACCTAATTTGTAATCATTGATAAAGTTCAGTATCAATAACGTTTGGAACGAGGACTCGCTTTCACAAGCTTCTCTTTACATAACGAGCTATCCGTGTGACGAAATTCTTTTCATAGATTTTATAATAAGCCGCCGTTCAGACGAAATTGCCCGCGTTGAAAGTTTATTTGAACTCCGGCTTTAACGAATAAATCACCAATATGATGAATGTCCCCTTTCTTGAAAAGCTCCCCCCCACAAAGAAATTTGGAGGACTCCTGCCATTTCCTGTAATAACCCCCTCTAATAACAACTCCCCGTAACAAATAACTCGCTATTACGAAATCCCGATTTTTTTGGCTTTCAATCGAAGTACAAAAGAAATTGTGCAAGAGGAAAATAACATTATCCTGGAAATTGCTTAGTAATAGCTAATCAAATTTCGAGATATCTGTTTTCTATTCAAATGGAAAATGTTAAATGTTTATAGGGGCTAGATCCTAACCTTAAGTCAATATCCACCCGAGAGTTATATATCCGGTGGATAGCGTCATTCACCTTCAAACAGCTGTAGCCTGACCTAGACCTCAGTAACCAAGGTAACCTACCTTGTCACATAAGCAGATCAGAATTTTCACGGAGAATATCTTGAGTTGAGTTTGGGAGCCTGGACACAGGCCGACTGGGCTGATAAACTAATCACATTCATATATGGAGAGGCTGGGTACCCGCAGAAAATCCATTTGTCACACGTTTCTCCCACATGCAGAGGCTATTTGGAGGCACTAGAAAAAGAGACCGTCTGAAATCCCAGAACAAAGACATTAAAATTTATTCAACAATAGGGCTGACGTGTACTCCAATCGTTCGATCAAAATGTCTTCATTAATGTCACTGTTAACAGAAGAAACTTCATATTCCTTTGATCAAAAAATCCCATCTGTTGTTGTTCTTTTTCATTCTTACCACTTCTTTGACAAATCTTTGTCCACGGTAATAAATGAAGGCTTTAATAATTATGTTACTCTATTCAAAGCTTTTTTAATTTTCCATACCACCTTTCACCTTGATTACAAATTATTTGTCATTTTGAGGTTCTTTTATTTCATGCCCATGAGTATATTGATCATAATTTTCTTTTAACGCCTACGACTCCTTTAAAAGACCTTAATCATGCACTTCGCATGATCGTTTTTCACAACAGCGTAAAACATTTTTTTTTCAATACGCGTAGACAGGATTTTTAACGACCGAAAAATATCAGTGTCACAGAAAAATAACAGTCACTTTATTTCAGAAATGGAAGGTGCGGTTCAGATTTTTCTTTACACCAGCTTTTTAATTGCAGCAATTAATGGAAATGTTTTGTTGTTCTTCTCACTTTTCCGCTACAAAGTTCTTCGCTCCCTTTTCTTCCCGACTGCCACCTTTCTCCTCTCCACTCGGTTTAGTTTGCAGTAACACGGCGTGAGTGATTCGGCTCAATTTCCGAAGTTTTTTGCGGATGCCCACGGCCACCCATCGATCTTCATGGGAAGGAACCGTCTGTTCAGAGAAGGAGCACGGGCTCACTTCCTGAACAGTGGCTGGTAGTCGAGCGTTCGTGACTACCGTATTACCTCGAATGAACGTCCAGCCTTTAAGGAGCGCCCTCCCCCGAATAAGCGCCCATACCCAGGCCATATTTTCAAACAAGCTCCCCCTTCGACTAACCACCCCCTTCTCCCTCACTTTCTAAAGTAATAGGGATACAAGAAAAACCTTTTTGCCATTGCCACTTTATTTGTTTTTAACTTTGAAAGCCTCAACTTCAGGGGTGTGACTGGTAAAAAAAAAATAATAGAGGGCCGATGCCTCGAAAACCACTCGTCACCTCGGACTGAAAGTCTGGGATAGGCTATCAAGAAATGGGGGTGACGAGAAACGAAAGGCTCAATGAGCATGGCTAAAAGAATTTGTTTCTTCATTTCAAACCAAACCAGCACACATTTTTTTATGAGGAAAACTTCACCGCTGTAACAAACTGTCTCAGGAGCCCTGATTTTTGCAAAGTACGAAAAATGATTTACTTACGTTAAAATTTGTTGCCTTAAAGTGGAATGGCGTATTTAATGAGGGAAAAAATCGAAACATATATTGGCTATTTTGAAACTGGAATTTTGTGCGCGCCGCCATATTGGATCAGGTGACGCTTTGTAGTTGATTTCTAGACGTAAATGGCGCCTATCAGGAAATTGCTTCTACTTATCTCTAGTTTTAATTCATTTTGGTTCTTGTTTCCCTTTTGTTCTAGGGAATCTCCACAAGAAAAGACATCTTCATCAGTTCAAAGACAGTAGGGTCTCCTTTACAGTTTGTATGACTGTAGACATTCTTCTTTATCAACTAAGGATGGCTGCTGTACACTGTAGGCCTCAGCCCCCAAGGATTTTTGCTATAGATTCCCAACGTTGTGTAGATATCTGGCTTGTAGGTCATTCGTTCGGTGATCCCTTCTTTTCGGAGGTTTTGCTCGACTTTTCTCACGTGGTCCTCATTGGTAAAATCCTCAGTGTACACGCAGATCACATGTGTTTTTTTCTCAGGGTCATGTGTGCTGACCTTTGCGGAACAACCAAGCTTACCAGCGACGACTGCTTTTGCGACGAGCTTCCATACGTTATCAATCGCTGGCCTATCATAAATTGATGGAAAAAAAGAACCGTTTGAAAAAGTCATGCTACAAGGCTCTTTTAAGGTAGCACTGAAATATGACGGGGTAATTAGGTATTATCAACTGAGTTGATAGCGTAAGTTGAACACTGTAAAGAGTTTAAAAGCAGACGTTTCGAGCGTTAGCCCTTCATAAGAGCGATTGAAGGAATCGTGGGGTTTGTGTCACTGGACGAATGAACTACAAGTCAGATATCTACATAACGTTAGAGATCTATCGCAACAATCCTTGAAGGCCGAGGCCTACAGTGAACAGCAGCCATCGTTAGTTGACAACAAATGGATTTTCCATCTCAGTAAACAAACACACCACCCACAATTCCTCCAATCGCTCTGACGGAGGGCTAACGTTCGAAACGACAGCATTTACACTCTTTAGGGTGGCCAATTTACGTTATCAACTCAGTTCATTATTGATAATATTGAATTACCCCGTTATAGTCTCTTTAGAAACTTACCCCCTTTACTGATATATGAAGGGTCCATTTACTAAGGTCACGTTTCGTTCTATTCAAGGTTGATCCCTTACTGTTTACATAAAATATTACAGGTACTCATATTGGCAGAATCACAGGGCTATCAACGAGAGCCAGTAACCAGCCAAATCCGTTGACTAGTTGGATCATGAGTATTTAAGGTATCTATCACCTGTCGGTCAAGAATTGGTCGATACTTTCGGTTTACATGTCGGTTGAACAACGTGGCGACCGACAGTCGGCCGAATATCGGTCGACATGTCAATTGATTATCGACCAACTCTAGGTCGACATGTCAACCGATAGTATCCGTTGATACTCGGCCGACAGATGCCTTAATATATTTACCTCCTTTCAAATAGGTGCTGGTGAAAAATCAATCGATAATTATCACACGATCGAAAAATTTGAATTGCCAACATTTCCCAGTTTGGAGTGGAAACGAAAGATTAAATTACCACTGACAGGTTTAGATGTAAAGATCGATTCGACATTCCTTGTTGTACACCTGAGACATTTTGATTGAACAGTTCCCAGCCTTTAACTTGGTCGCCTACTAATTGTTATTTCCTTCCTTTTCTCAAACTCATTGAAAGGCCTGCTAGGAGAAACTAAGCTTCATTCATTGGCTTAAATACTTGTAGTTACTACTACTACTGGTTATAGACAGTTAACTTGGTGGACTTATAACAGACTTGGTAAAGGGAACTGACGTGTGATTCCTTCGTGTGTTGTGGCATCAATAAGACGTAATTACCCAGATGCAGCCGGAAATTATACAGGCTTTAAAGATGCTGAGGACAATGACTCATGGCCGGGACAGTCACGTTTAATCAATAAACTTGTGTTTGTTTTTATTAAACATTCAAGGAAGTCCACGGCGCTATAGGGGTATCGGCTCCAGCTCCAATCATTAAAATACCTGTAACAGTCTGTTCCAAAAATAGAAAACTAACAATGTAAATTCTAGTGGCATTTTAGGCGGACTATTCGATTTTTGTATTTCTATTTTTTTCACTTGCTTAATTTTTTCCCAAATCTGGATACATGCCGTGCGAGAAGGTCCTCTTCAGGTGGGCGTGGAATGGGCGCGATGTTTTTTGGGAGATCAGGGACTTGAACTTGCTCTGGCTCTTCTCCTGTGTCTCTCATCTCCAACACTGAGCATAGCATTTCCGTAACGTGCGGCTTGGTCTTCTCTTCGAAAACAGGCCTTACAACCCAATCCTTCATCCCCTTAGGATAAACATAACGGAATCGTTTCTCCCCACTCGAAGCCTCTGCTTGAGATCGACCAGTGCCCGAATTGTGGTCTAAAGCGGTTAGCTGTGTACGTGCTACCATTCCCAGGAATCCAAAATGTTGCCGCTTGGGCGCGTATTTGTTGTAGAGTGAATGGTACACTTCCAAGGCCCCTGTATGGATGGTCTTCGTTAGAAGGTCCAAATCCTCTAAGAGTTTCTTCTCTAGCACTACATGTTTTAACGCTTCGTGTGCCGGGGAACCTACGATTAGCCATTTCGTTTTACGATGTGCCCTTGGGGAAATAGGCTCATGTGCACAACGATTGTACAGCACAGTCGAATCCCAATCGTGTTTGTCAGCCGTGTGGTGGAGGATGCTGACCCACTTCTCTTTAAGGAGCTGGGGATTTCCGTCACACGTCATCGCTGACCACCACATATGGTTTGTCACGGATTTTATCCAAGGAGAGAGGTCCTTGCATTCTTTCTCCTGGGCTTTCGTGACTAGCTTGGACTTGATGTTCTTAGTCAAGTGCCACACGTCTACCTGGTGCTCAACACCGAGGTCCTTGTACTCGCTTCTCATGAGTGCTTTGATACCGGTGTGCCTGTCAGTACCTACAACTCCTACAGGAATGCCACTATTTAGTGCGCGGTCAAGACAAAGCTTAAAACCAAGTTTCTTCATTTCCTGTGAACTTGTACTCTGCTTTACATGGCAAACTTCGAAATCGACAATTTTCTCACTCTCTTTGTCCATCATGGTGTAAGTTCCGTATTTGGCACTATAGCCTGGGGAGTCACAACGTCCATCCCCACGGAGAGTGACTGAGTTCCTGTCTAAGAGATTGGCGAGGACTGCCGCCTTTTCCTGCTGCCAACGATCATTTATAACAGGGAAAAGGTGCTTCTTCTGCCAGTTGCGATAATCCGATTTGCTCAGAAAGGCAGGATTTATTGCGGAGGCAACTTCTGAAACACGCGAAAACGTATTTCCTGTAAAAAGTACAGCACCTGAAAGCAATACGTTCCCCGCGGCCGCCCTGTTAACAAGTGGCTGGGAAACCCACTCCTTCGAATGGGGGTTTTTACAAAGTGTCGTTACTTTAAATGCACTTCCCTTTTTCAATACCCCCTTTTCCAGAACCTTGTCACCGCATTTAACACAGCGGCCAAATAACTTAAGCAGTTCTTCCTCAAATACTATGTACTTGGGAGACGAACACATTTTCTCATAAATGGTATCGTGACTGTTACTAACGGGCGGATCAGTCTCCAAATCGCTTTAGGTGATGTCCTGGTCCACTTCTTCAAAGCTGATGTTAAACGAACTGTCTTCCCCAGCCTCTTCATCACAGCTGACTTGAATGGAAGTGTTGTTGATATCGTCATCATCAAAGCTGACATGAAGGGAATTGTCGTTCACATCGTTATCTATTGTTACGTCAGTATCTTCTTCCAGATTAATCGAGAGTTCCAGAAACCGAGGTGGTTGACTAGATGAAGCTTTGATCGGGGTCGAAGTAAATGGCTGCGTGCAAAGGGACCTAGGCTTAGAGTATAAAGGCAGCGGATTCCATGGTGGAACACAACTATAGTTGTGATCTTGAAGAAGCAGCGCGTCCCCTGTTTCACTAGCAAGCCACTGTGTTCTACACGTCGTAAATTTTTTTTCAGGTTCGCGGTGTTCTGCGCTTGCAGATGTAGCGTCGATCCAGATAAACTGAGATTCCGTGCAGCTTGGGGAAGAAACTTGATTCGCCGAAGGTTCTGTTTCAAGCTTTGGAGAAGAGGGCGAAGCAGCACAGGAGGTAGATAGTGAATCGCCAGTGTTTTCCTTTACAACTGAACACGGAGACTTTTCTTGCTCTAAAGATAGCAAATGGGTGTTTTCAAGAAGGGTGTTCAAGACCTACGATGAAATGCAGAATGTACGGTGTTGATTACATTTACAGGCTGGTATCACAAAACAGTTGTTAGTTGCATCATTAATATTTCACACCCCACCTCCTGTCGGCTCTGGCGATTCGCCCTACCAACGCTTGTTTGTCGGATTTTCTTTGGTGGAGGCGCATAGGGAAAAACAGATGGAACTGCATCATCTTTTAAATGTCTCTTTTTCCTGCTACCGTCAGATCCAAGGAGCTCGGACTGTATTTTTACAAGAAAGGAAAACAAACAAACATTAAACACATTAATGGTTTTCCTCATTGTCTTCTTATTTACACAGAGTGACTAGAAGACCTTTTTTTTACTGTGATTCTGGTATAAACAAATATTCACGTGCCTTATAAGATAATTATAAACACTGCTTTGGAAAAATGCTTGGGAAAAATTCTTGGGAGAAAACGGCTAAGTGCGTCTATGGTCGCGATTGAATTTGCTACACGCGGTCAATCACCAATGCGAGCTTCAATTGTTTCGCTTCCATTACAGTGGTTCTTTTAAATAAAATTAAAGAAAAATACATTTCGAATATGGAAAGGTAAACATAGCTTTCAGTTTGAAGCAAAGGTCAAATATTCATACCTGAATATTCCGCTTGAAGTCGTCCTTGATAAAGTGATCTGAGCAGACGTAGCAGTTCTCGGGTTTCGGCAGAGCGTCCTCGCGTTTTATTTTTGCCAGCCAAATTTTCTTTAAATTTTTATTTACGGGTAGCTTGTGGAAGCTTACTCCTTTCCCTTTTGTATTTTTGTAAGTATTATGACAGTTAACTACAAGACAGTTGACCATAGTTAAACCCTCATTAGAAATACTCGTCAGAAAGGTCGATCGAGTCAACCAGGTCAAAGCGATGAACAACAAGGTTTGACTATTGCTACGTCATAGCTGACGTCATATCCAAGATGGCGTTTTTCTAGTCGCGAAAGTGGTAGATAAGAGCAACTTCTAAGCGCTGTTATCGTAATTGAAAAGCAAACTGGACAAAACGGCAATTATTTTCGAATTCCTGTGGAAAAGTTCTATTAATAGAGGTAAAATTTTTCTAGACCGTACTTCCCCTTAAAAATCGTGTCGGTTCTTTCCCTACCACTTTGAGTAGATCAGCCATTTTCCTGTTTTGTAATCGTATTCCTCGGCCAACTGTAGAATATAATCTGAGGTAATCTTGCCAAAGGTTTTCATGTTACATTCCCATTCTTTAAGCAAAGAAGCCTTATCGGGAGATTTCATCTTTGAGAAGTCAGAATGGCGCCAAACACTGATCCACGAATACTGGGAACACTCGATCTGTGTTGGTCGGTTTCTCTTCAGAAAATCATCGATTGGCATGTCGCCTTTGTAAATAATCCACTCTCCATCGTCTTTGTTAGGTCGCGATGCAGCCATCGGCAACGTACAGCAGAGCACAAGCAAAACTACAGGCCACTGTCTCCTAGGACTTCATTGAAGAGAAATACATCGCATTTGAGGCAGAGGTCAGCGGCAGCGGCCACCTCAGCTATGCTCGATCCTTCGCTTGATCGAGGTGAAGTCCTATTTCCTGAAAAGAGCTAGCATGGTAACAATCCTTAGGCACTGCACGGCCGTGCATCCATCACACGACGAATGCAATTTCACTTCGGCTGAAAGTTCCCGTTGAAGTTAGACGCAAGGTTTCAAAACTTTCAAGATATTTTCCCCGCTTTATCCCGATTGAAATTGACCTTGTGGAACTAAAAGTGAAAATGAAACGTCCTAAATAATACTCGTTTCGAAAAACAATGAACATGTAATTCTTTCGAGCGACGAAGTCATTTTTGAGTTGACAATAATTCATTCAAACGCAATGCGAACTATGGCTAAAAACAAATCTAAGCTTTTTGACTTAAATTGTAGCTTTGCGACGTCGGGTAATCTTCATTAAAGGGTAAATATTATTTTGAAGTGTTGACATGTCCTTATGGTGTTGTTCAGTGTTTTGATATCGTACAATGTTCAGAATTTTCAACACAAAGCTACGCAATTTTTGCAAGCACACGGGTCTCTTAAATGTACGAAATTTGTAAGTTTTCGGTTCGAACGGTTGATATTATTTTTAAGTGTTGATATTTCTAACAATATATTGTTCATTAGCAGATTTTAATTCTAAAACCGCACAATTTCAGAATTTTAAAAATTTAAATTTAAAAAACACAAACCTACGCAATTTTCTGACCGTTAATTGTAGTAAACAACAGTTCAAGCATGCTGAATCTACTACATAGTCTCGTACATGCAAGATATTCGTTCATATCTCGCTTCTGAGGAGAAAATTCAAAATTCTTTTGATAAAGATTTATTCACGAAATATTTTTTCGTCTTTTTTGCCTTGTTATTTATTCATAGTTTTCGGTTGTAACATGATTATCTGGTAGACCCGACAAAGTTGTAGTAAACTCTTTTTTTTCGAACACAACTTGTGTCTGCATGCTATGTTACAGAAGAATTTGTTCGTGCGTAAAAGCTGTGCGTATATCGAGTTATGGATGCACTTCGCAAGTTTGGAGAGTAGCTCTTACGCTTCTCTCGTGCTCTCCAAACTTCCCGTGTACATTCATAACTCGACATAGGCACGCTAAGCGTGGAACAATTCTTTATTCTGGGCCATTGGAACCAAGTGAACTTAAAACGTTTTCGCACCAACGTTGTGATCCGTACAATCCCTCCCTCCCCCGATTATTATTGGCTTTCAATATTTGTCACGCGCTCGCGATGCCTTGAGTTTCCCAGGAGGTCCAAAGCTCAAAATTTTCACAAACAGTACAAAGCTCAAGAACATTGAATTGTCCAAATAGTAAGAATGTTTTAATTAACTGACTTGATTGGCCACAGTAGAGAGTTTCTAAAGCTGACGGTTAGTCGAGCGTTAGCCCTTCGTTAGCCCTTCCTATTCGCTCTGCCAAAGGGCCAATGCTCGAAAAGTCAGCTTCAGAAACTCTGAACGGTATAGCTTATGTGTAGCCGTACCCTCCCAACTTTCACCTTTAGTGAGGGAAAAATAGAAACATATATTGGCTATTTTGAAACTGGAATTTTGCGTGCGTCACCATGTTGGATCAGGTGACGCTTTGCAGTTGATTACTAAACGAAAGAACTTTTGTTTGGTGATTATATATGGTGGTACCCGTATGACGTCATACGATCCAAAATGACGCCTATCAGTAAATTGTTTCTATTTGTCTCTAGTTTTAATTCATTTTGGTTCTTGTTTCTCTTTCGTTCAAAGGAATCTCCACAAGAAAAGATATCTTCATCAGTTCAAGGGCAGTACGGTCTCCTTTAAAGTGTGTATGGCTGTAGACATTCTTCGTTATCAACTAACTATGGCTGCTGTACACTGTTGGGCTCAGTCTCCAAGGATTGTAGCGATAGATCCCCAACGTTGTGTAGATGTCTAGCTTGTAGGTCATTGGTTCAGTGATGCCTTCTTTTCGGAGGCTTTCCTCGACTTTCCTTACGTTGTCCTCATTGGTAAAATCCTCAGTGTACACGCTGATCACATGCGTGTTATCTTCATGGCTTTTTTCGCTGACCTTTGCGGCATAACCAAGCTTACCATTGACGACGCGCTTCCATAACTATTATAAATTGATGGAGAAAGAACCATTTGAAAAAAGTTATGCTACAAGGCTGTCTTAAGGTAGCACTAACATATAAAGGTCCATTTACTAGGGTCATGTTTCCTACCAGTGAAGGATTACCCTTAAATGTTTACTTCAAGACATTAGAGCTGCTCATATTGGCAGAATAACAGGGCTATAAATGAGAACCAGAAGCTAGCCAAACCCATCAACTAGTTGGATCATGAGTAGGCATCTGTTGCCTGTCGGTCAAGAATCAGTTGATACTATCGGTCTACATGTTGGCTGAATGCTGACCGACATACCGACCAAGTATAGACAGATAGTGGCGACTGACGGTCTACTAACTCAAATAACATGGCGACCGACACTTGGCCGACCATTCGTTGACGTGTTCATCGATTAACAACATGCGTGATAGTATCCGTCACATTCGGCTGATAGATGCCTTAATATGTTTACCTCCTTTCGAAATAAGCGCTGTTGAAAAAAATGATCGATAATTAACATACGATCGAAAAACTTGAACTGCAAACATTTCCCAGTTTGGAGTGGAAACGAAAGAATAAATTATCACTAACAGGTTTCGAACAGTGAGCATTTCGTTGTGTGCGAAAGTGTATTTGATTGTGAGGTATCGTTCTCCGCTGATCAAATCTGAGTGGCCAAGCACACCGTCCCGAATTACGACAAAGGAGATGCTAAAACTGAACCAAATTTACCCCGAAAAAATTCGTGGAAACTTTTTCTTCACAGCATGAAAATTGTCACAGCTCCATGCCGAGGGTTATCAACCAACTCAGCCAATAGATCAGTAAGCACTTAAGATGCCAACAAAACGTTGAATTGAGTTTGAAGACGTCGTTTCGTTTCCGCGGTCAAAATAACCATCGCGTTCAACAAGCCGGTTAACGGACGATAAAACTGAGAACAGCTGCTGCGACGAGAAGACTGTGTGTTTAATCGCCAAAATGATACTGTAGACGAACATTACAGATCGATTCCACGTTCAGAAGGTTCTAACGAACTTTGTTGTACACCTGGGACATTTTGACTTAATTATTCCCAGCATTTAATTTGGTAGCCAACTAATTATTATTCCCTTCCTTTTTTCAAACTCTTTGAAAGCCCTGCTAGGAGAAACTAAGCGTTGTTCGCGAGCTTACATATTTTCTCCTTTGACTTGCAGCTACTAAAATCGTGTCGGTTCTTTCCCTACCTTTCTGGGTGGATCAGCCATTTTCTTGTTATGTAGTCGTATTTCTCGGCCAACTGTAGAATGTAATCTGAGGTAATCTCGCCAAAGTTTTCTATGACTGTCACATTCTTTACGTAGAGAAGCTTTATCGGGAGATTTTATCTTTGAATAGTCAGAATGGCGCACACAGATATACGAATACTGGGAACCCTCGATCTGTGATGGTGGGTTCCTCTTCAGAAAATCATCGATAGGCATGTCGTCTTCGGAAATAAGCCACTTTTTATCGTCGTTGTTAGGTAGTGAGGCAGCCATCGACGACTCTCAGAAAAGCGCAAGCAAAATCACGAGCCGCTGTCTCATGAGGACTACAACGAAGATGAATGTACATCAGAAGCCCGATTCCTAGCAGACGTCAGCGGCAGCGGCCACGTCAGCTGAGCTTGATCCTTCCCTTGATCGAGGTTAAGTCGATATTCAATTATCATATTAACTAATGTGTTATATAAGGATTTCTATCCTTGCGAAAAGCCGCAACGACACACATGAAAAAATATCGTTTTTTTTCGCATATGTTTGATATCGCCAATCAGCTGCAGAACGTCACTCGGTCGGGTTGATGAAGGAACGGCAAAGCCCTTACTTTTTGTCGGAATTTTCTCGGATTATGGCTGCCAAAACACTGAAAAATCCGTATCGCCTACAGACAATGACGCTCAAACTTTCGAAGAAAGAGAAAGAAACCAAAATACGAAAAGAAAAACCAAAAGTTACGTATACAGTAGCTTTGGTAATGGCTTTTCTCGCGGCTGAGAACGAAAATCGACTACTGGAAGATTTGTTGCAGGCCGATTTTGGCCTTACATCTGAAAGATTTCTTCTGTCGGTAAGGACAACGTCAACATGGGAAAGTGCATTTGATTACAAAAACAACAATGGGCGTAATTTTTAATAAACAAAATTCTCATTTATTGACTTTGTCCTTACTGACAGAACATAAATGAGTGTTCATGCGATCTTCAAAGCGACAGAGTACACTGTCTGTTCGACAACAGAATTCCACGCGGCTCTCATCATTAATATTTCTAAGAAATTTATCCGCCCGCAAAGCATTCGTAATCCTTTCCAGCATTAACGAGCTTTAAATCAGTCACATTCTTCTGAAGAATAAGAACACAACACAGGTCATCGAGTCCAAAGTGTTAAGTACAATGAATTGAACGGATTTTTTTGATAATTGTCCCCGATCGATCTGAAAAAAAAATTAATGATTATAGTGATAATAATGGTGATAATTATGATGATAATGATGATGATAAAAACAGCGTAATAAAGTTTACGGTCGTTACTGGCTTTAGTCTCACCTTAGGGGGAGGGTACGAATACACATGGACTTTTAACCGTGCCAGTTTATATTATCAATTCAGTTGATAACTGCTAACTGTCTTGTAAAACCCCTCACCGATGCAGCACCACAGTTTCTTCATAAACTCCCCCTTAAATCAAAATTGTTTGCTAAGGGTAAATAGGAACCAAAGAAGAATGAAGAAGCTTAATTAAATGTGATTAGGGCGGAGACTGACAAGATCACAAATGCAAACCTTGTGACAATCCTTGACGAAACTTCGGAGCGTGTCAATTATGTTTCGATAGGCCGCGTGACTTCTTGCGTTACCTGTCGTGACTTTTCAAGCGGGCCGTAGTGTTGAAATTACTCTCCGCTCGCCATGGTTAGTGACTTCTTGCTGCTAAGCGTTGTGTTCTCATTTCAAGGCACCCTTTTACTGATTGCTCTTGTCCTAACTTTGTACATCACTTGTTCCTTTTTTGGCGATGTACGGGTCTCGAATCTGGAGAAGAAAGCCGTGTTTATCACTGGCTGCGACAGTGGATTCGGCTATGAGTTAGCCAAGAAATTAGATGCGGAGAGATTACGAGTGTTCGCTGCTTGTCTCACTTCTGAAGGAGAGGCAAAGCTGAAAAATGAATGCTCTCCGGAGCTTATCACACTAAAACTGGACGTTACCAAGCCAAGGGATATTCAATACGCTTTACAAGCCGTCAAATCACACCTGCCTTCTCAAGGTATTTCATCGATCGAACTGGATTGAATCTTGTTCATTCCTCCAAGGATTAGCTAAGTTAACATCGCTGATGAAATTTGGATGAGACTTAATTCATGTGTTGTGTGTCTATGTAAGGTGACTGTTTCCACTGTAAATAATTGTTTACTTTTAACTGATTCGAGGGTTTTGAAAATCTTACCATGCTTACTCGTGAAAAACGGAAAAAACAGACACAAACCAAACAAACAAAAATCGGTCTTTTATTTTTATCAACTGACATACTACAAGCAACTTTCAGATGGGGAACGATGTTAAAAACTTTGTAAGGATTTTACTCCTTGTCAGATCACTGGAGCACTTGATCATCTGATGACTGTGAACAAGTGGTAAACATTTATCAGGAAATTAGTAAAGGGGTGGGGTAGGTGGGGAGATACAAGTAATCCCTTAAGTAGGCTTTTGGGTATGTTAGGTGTGTATTGGTATGGTTCCCCACCCCTCTCCCCTTAATTGTCTGGAATGTGAGGTAGATTTTGCTGTCTGGACCTGAGGACAGGTTAGATTTACCACAAACCAAGTATAAATTTTATCTGTGAACATTTTTTGGGATCCAGTGTAAAATAATGTGAGAAGATGGACTAGTTTTCTTTTAAAGCTTGGGAAAGACTTAAAGCCATGCTACCCAGCCTCCCCTCCCATATTTACCTCTGGCTAATGTGGAATGGCACATATTATCTCTTGATTATGAGTGAAATAAGTTCAACTAAAAGCATCATTTTCAAATTCCATTTTTTCTTATTTAAAATATACTTCTGCATTATTCTAGGTTTGTGGGCTATAGTAAACAATGCAGGCATTGGATACCCAGGACCAATTGAATGGCAACCTGTGGAGGAAATGAAGAAGACTTTAGAGGTGAACCTGTGGGGAATGGTGAATATTACGAAAGCATTTCTTCCATTACTTAAGAGAACCAAGGGGCGTGTTGTTAATGTTGCCAGTTCATCAGGGAGACTCTCTTCTCCTTTTGCTGCAGCTTATTGCATCTCCAAGTTTGGAGTGGAGGCTTTTTCTGATGCGTTACGCAATGAAATGAAGCATTTTGGAGTCACTGTTCACATAATCGAGCCAGGGATTTTTAAAACAGCCATAACAGACGCAGAGAAGAACATCAAATACCTGCAAAGATTATGGGAAAACCTTGATGGAGATACCAAAGAATGTTACGGAGGGGAGTTTTATGAACAAGGTATGGGAAAAGTTTAGCAATCATGTTATTATTATTGAATGCTCAGGGAAAAGCTTGACTGTGATTGGTGAGGCCTTATAGCAATGTAGTAGCATGTTATTGCCTGCTTTGTTGTTTGCAAGAAAACTGTTTTGTTATTCTGATTGGTCAATTTAGCAGGCTGTATTTTACTGTACTGCCACCTAAACTCGGCCCTAAAACTGAGTGGAAAAGGCAAGATCCAAAACTTGCAGACCTCAAACTCAGTAAGAAGTATTTAACCCCTCACCAATCTAAAAAATTATGCAGGACTCAGTATAACTAAGTAAAATGAAATGAAGTGAAGAATATTAAAATCTTCCATTGTGGAAAAACCTTAATTTTTCAACTATTGGCTCCTTCTTTGGCAGTGAGTTGCTTCTCTTCCAGTAATACAACTAATGTGGTTTGATCTTTTTAAATTATCAGCCAAAGCCAAGTTAAGAGACATACGTCATATTTTTTCACTCAACATTTTCAAAGTGGTTAATGCCATGGATCATGCAGTGACATCCACACATCCTAAACTAAGATATGTTCTTGGGCTGGACCACCAACTCATTTGGAGAACTCTCTCATTTCTACCATCTGAAATACAAGATTTCTTCTTTGGACTGATGTTGCCAAAACCAAAGGGAATTGCTGGTCGTGGCACTTGAATCAACTGCCATTAACGAGTCAAAAATAAATTGTTTCTAGAAGATCCACTTTGTGAGCAGATTAAACCATTAACCCTTTTCCTCTCACATCCTTGTTAGTAATTCTCCTCACCATTTTCTATACAGTTTTTATCATGCTAGTGTGGAGAATTTGGTATTGGATTAACTTATGGTCCCCTTGATGAAATTTTTCTGTTTGATATTTCATTATTGTAAGGAGAAATTCTATCTTGGCCACTAGTGGGAGTTAAAGAGTTAACAGATGTAAAATTCTTAACCTCCCTCACCTTAATACCAGTGTGCATGTTTCCCAAACTGTTCCCCAAACATTTCCCAAGGTGCTGACAAGAGGATGTTTTTAATGATTGATTGGTGATCATTTCCTTTATTCTTGGGGCCTTGATGTGTGATTTAGGGGTGATATTGTAAGGAGAAACTAGATATTGGTCACTCTTAGTGGTCTACAGGTTAATGTTCTTCTTGAAACTTGTTGAAGTACCAAAGCTACTTGTTACAAAGTCTGAGGGACAAAAAGGCACAACTCTGGGCAAGTTTTAAGAGAGCATGAATACTAGAGACCAGAGTTTTTGGGGAGAGAAGATTCATAAGATATCTTAGTATAACTGGTAAATACTTTACAGAGAGTAATTAACTTTTATGCAGCGTTTGTTCAATATTCAGCATAATGATCCTGAAGTAGTGCTTTTTAAACATAATGTAATAATAGCATTATACTGAATGTCATACATAAAAAGTAATTTGAAAAACAAAAACACTTTCAGTCTCATGGATTGTTTATTTCGTGAGTTGGAGCTCGACAATGTTATAAGTGGAACAAACCAACCTCTTACAGTTGTCAAAAAAAAAAAATTGTTGAATCTCCTTTACAGAAATATTTGATTCTAACAAAAAATGTCAACAAAAATACTCTCTCCCAAGGGTGTTTTCAAAGTTCATTGAAATGAAAACACAAAACAGGCATATTGCTTCTTTAAATTGCTGTTTTCATTGATTGCCAGCTTACATCAAACTCATTCTAATCCAACATGCTAACTGATTTACAATTTAATGGACTATGAAGTCATTAGTGTGAGAAACAATTCTTCCATGCACAATGAAAATCCTTAATATTAAATTACCCACAAATTTTCATGAAGATCAACCATGAATATATTGAATCAATGTTATCAATATGCATTCCTCATTGGAAACCACAAAAAACACAAACCCAAGTAAGCTAAACATGGATTTCTAGCAAGCCTTGTTCTACAAAAGCTTAATAATAATAAAAATATTTTGATATCCATCCAAGGAAGGAGAGATATTTAAATAGCATCAATGTCTAGGTCATCATCATCCTCTTCGACTACTTTATTGTCAGCCTGAGCTTTCAGCTGCTGAGCCTTGTTGTCATAGACAACTTCTATCTCTTCCTCTTCTTCCTCTTCTTCACTAGAATCCTCTTCTTCTGCCTCTTTTAGCCACTTAATGAAAGGAGCCACCTTCTCATGGATCTGAGAGCACACCTCCTTACTCACATACTTCTTAGAAACCTGAAAAGAAAACAAAACCTCTATTAGGGTTGGCTTTGAATGCCCCTAAATAAATTTTCAGGAAAAAATGCAAAATTTTAAAACCATACATAGCAGTTTTTCAGCAGTATGTGTCTACACCTATTGGAAAATTAAAGGCTTCAAATGGAATGATAAAATTATGTATCCGGAAGAGAGTAATGATCTGTGCTCATTTACCTTCTCACCCCACTGCAAGATAACTTCTTCCTCCAAAAGATCTGCATCATAAAGTGCTTTTAGAATGCGAACAGCCTTTGGCATCAGGTCTGCAGGAAATGACCGTCCAACAAGCAGTTCAAATGCACCCAGCATATACTTCTGGGCCTTGTGGTTTCCATGTAGAAACTACATTTAAAAAAAATGATTGGTGAAAAAGCAAGCCATGTCATTTACACTGAAAAAGGTAAAACCTTTCAGTAAAACATCTCAAAGGGAGTCACACACTTGAAGATATGACCATTAAAGTGACAAAAAGGGTGATGAAAAATGAGAAGCAGAAATGGGTTGATTTGAATTCCAAATTCTAAATGAAACCTCACAAAGAAATCTTCAGAGCATTATAACAATTTAAAACAAAAGAGCTCACCCTCAGAAACAGGTTACGAAATTTAGGGATTTCCTCAAGCATGTTCTTGTCAAACAGAACTTCACTGAGAGCTAGTACTCCCTTGTCCTTAATATCTAGCCTGTCTGCTTCTGCAACAATCTCTCCGATGACACTTTTATCTATGTTAGTTTCCTTCCTTTTCTGTAAAACAAAAAGTAAATGGAGTGGCATAGATGAGCTGATCTTGCCTATTACCCTAGCAGAGAGCTGTAACACAGTATAAATTGATTTAACAACACTGATATACCAAAACAATTATTAGTGAAATAACTTCAACACAAATTTGTCATTCTACAGGACACAAGAGTGAGCAGAAATGTTTGTGAGCAGAACATTAACTGAAAAACATCTTGAAACTTTTCGCATGGGAATTCCTTACTATTCATTATTATGTATGGTACCTTGACAAAGTTGTAGAAGATATTGAAGCGCTCCTCCTGAGGCTTTTCAGTATCATTGGTCAATGCCAAACCTTTCACTCCCGATGTTAGAGTACCCATTCGTTCTTGAACAGCAGCATCACTTGTGTCAACACTCCAATCATCATCAGCTGCTGCAGCAGCCTATTGACACACATACAACACAAAAAAACAGTAGGAATGTTAAAAATGAGGGAGAAACTAGCACAAACAGTGCATTGGTATGGTTGAGACAAAGAGTTGCCTCTAAAATTATATGTTGACAGTTTCATCCAATTAACTATTTACATCAAATTTTGAAAATAAAGTGCATAATGTGAAGGCACATACATTTTTAAAGTCAGGGTTTTCAATTCCATTTTCTCCTGGCTGCATAGGATTATGCGTTGGACTACTTTCACCATTTTGTTGCCCTTTCTGCTTGTCTTTGCGGCCTCCTTTTTTCTCTCTAAGATGAGAAAAGAACAAAAAGCCTGTCTGTTAAAGCTGAGTCACACTTAAGGCCTATTTACACGGTATGACTTTGTTGCATGTGACAAGCTTACGACAGGCCTACGACATGACTTAGGACAATTTACACGCGCACAACATTTTCACCTACGACATGCCAAAATCGCATGCAATTCCACTCGTTTCGGCCACGGTCATTGTTTCAATAATTTGCAAGAGAAGGAAAAGAACCTCTTCCTCGCTCCACAGTGATATCATATTCTCTGTTTCCTCATCTGAGAATGTATTTTTCGCTTTGGAAGCAGTCTTTGACTTTCTGGAGGCGACTTCCTCCGCCATTTTGATGCAAGAAAATTTCACCTTCCTCCCCTACTCAGTAGAAATTTGTCACAAAATATGTCATTTTCTATCAATTTCGGCTACGATTGTCGCAGCGTTTTAAAACATGTTTTAAAATCCTACGACATTTTTTGTGACGTGCACGACAGTTGTAAGCGAGTGGTAGGTTTGATTTACATGATACAATTCATGTCGTAGGCCTGTCGTAAAAAGCTTGTCGCATGCGACAAAGTCGTACCGTGTAAATAGACCTTTAGAAGATTGACAGAGCTTAAATTTTCACCTAAACACAGCTAGCTTCAAAAAAAAATTTCTGCCAGGAAAAACAAAAGAAAAATAAACAGGAACAAAAAGATAAGAAACAAAAGACAGTCTGTGCTGCTTTCTCAAATCAAACACTACAATACACACACTTCTGTAATGACAGCAGTCTTTTGCAGAAGTTTGTGCAACATCTAAAACCACCCAAGAAGAAAGACCAAAAAAAGAAAGGGAAAAGAAAAAATATTGTCAATTTGGCTACAAGTAGGGTGATCCAACTACTCCTAGATGGAAAGGTAAATTCTCCTCACTGATATCCATAGCTAACCCAACGAATGATAATTTTGTTATAAAATTTAAATCTTTCCCTAGTTGAAAATGAATTACAATTATATGGATACTCTACTTACCAATCAATAGTCAAAAGGTTAACAGTTTTTCCAGGGGTATGCTCTGTTCAGGTGCATTAAAGGATCTGATTTTCCAATTCCTAACTCCAATAAGTACCTAGATTACATAAATCTGCAGGCACAATGTGCAAAACCACTGGTAGTCTACCACTTACTTTTTTGATGGTGTTCCTGATTCATTTGGAGGATTCTTACAAATGAAGGTAATCAGCCGGTGCTGCATGTGGATGTAACCATTGTATCCACAAGCTTTGCATTTCTGACCGATCCTCTCTTTACGTGCTTCAACCAACTAATATTCAGAAAAAAAATGAAGAAAATCCAAATCTTACTTAACCCCTCTTCTAACTTCAACCAGTTTCTAACTTAACAGTTGCTGGACTGAGAAAGGCAAGAGAAATACATGTGTGGTATGTCAGGTATGTAGTGGGGGGGGGGGGGTTAACAACAGAAAGATTATTAAAGCGCAGCAGCCTTTTCCCTTACATTATTACTGACACAATATGCAGCCATGATTAAAACATTGTGTCTTTCTGATCAACCATGAAGATCTTGGTTTTCCGCATCAAAATCCATTAATACCTCACCTCAGAGGTCTCCGTTTTGGTTTGTTCTTAATGTTATGCATTGAAGTTGAATAGTTCAGGACAATTTCTGAAGCAAGATTGCAAATCTTTCAGCATGCCTCTGACTAACCAAGTTTGAGGTTCATATTGTAAGTTACAGAACAAGGTTTCTTTTGAACAAGTTTATTTCTGACTTATGGCCCAAGTGAAAAATCCTTGAAATTGTTAATGACAAGCTTATCTATACAATGAACTGTCACCACTAGCCTATCTTAAGTACCAATGTATTACCAGGAATTAAAGAACAAGTCAGCAATCAGCTTACCAGGTCAGTCTCTGGGTTATCACAATCAGGGCATAAAACAAACTTCTCAATAAACCCATCAAGAATGTCCTGCAACTTCTCTGCATCATGGGATCCATTTACAATGTAACGCTCATTCTTCAAGTCTATCTGGGTTTGTGCACCCAATTCACAACCAAAGTACTTAGTAGGATCTAAAAGGGGACAATTTTTGTATTACAACTTTATCATGTGGCAAGAAGGTAGATATCACAAAATCTATGTGTGGTGGATACTTGGTGATATGCACTTTAATTTCTTTAAAAAATTAGCTTTCTTTTTGCATGCTGACCAATTAATAGCTAAGGGCTAGTACCTGATACAAGGCAAGTTCCTGTATGACATTTTAAAAGTGCTCTAAACTGAGAAAGAAATTTTTGTTAAAGGTGAGGTGTACCGCTAAATCCATCCCGAGTCTAATTACTTAACACTAAATACACATCATAAACTATGTAACTGGTTTTATTTAAAACACCTAATTTAGGAATCTAAAAGAACTCATTTTGCAGCAAAAAAACTTCCTTACATGAGGCTGGTCTCTGCAAGGCTTTGGCAATTTCTACCATATTCACAATGACTGTTTTGATTCCATTTCCTTTTCCCTCCACCTGAAAATATTTGTGAAGCTGTAAACTCAGTATCTTATCAGCTTTAACTTTTGAACTGCGACAATAATAGCAACAAATGACAACCCTCTGCTTATCCATAAATGAACACAATGTCATACTAGCAGGTTTTTCCCTAAGAGCAGCCCTCCAAGCTGCAAGG